AAACTCATGTAAAATGCTTGGCATGGGCTCTAAGGTTAATATCTAGCTTCTAGGAGATGCAAGAGGAGCTGATCCTGAAAGCCAGCAGCACAAGTCAGGAAGCATTTAATAAACCCAAGGCCCTTTCCCTAAGCAGACATGGGGTTGCATGGAGTGTTGGGTGACCTGCGCCGGTTGCAAGTGGCCTGCACCTCATTTGAACATCTCATCAATTTATTCATGGCCTTCCAGCAAGGAGCTGAGCCCTCAGCCAGTGGTGGGGATCCCTCTGCCACAGCCCCACCTTCTTCCACCTCCTTTTTATATTTATTTTGCCGCTCAGCGGCATTGCAGCAAGCTCCGAGCGCACACACACGGTCACGTACGGCATTTCGCAAGACTACTTCTTCAAAAGCAGGAACCGTTTCACCTCCAATTTTCTGGCTGGAGCCCACATAGGGGCAAAAACCGCTCACCTCCAGTGACCCGCGTGGCTTCCCGGGCCAACGCACGCATTTCAATTAGCCAAAAATTATTTTGGCTTGGGCTAGAGAAGGGTTTTCCAGAGGAGATTTCTTAGAAAAGCTGGTTGGTTTTTTTTTTTTTTAGAAGGAGGTTGAACGCAGTAAAAGGGAGAAGTGGCTTGCGAACCCTCGCTGCTGCGTGCTGTAGCGTTGGGTGAAATGGATGTGATGGATGGGGGAGGTCCTCCAACAGACACCCAGGTCCAGCTGAAGTAGGGCACAAATAGATGGGAAATTCCCTTGGGACAGAGGCTGGGGAGCAGGCAGCTGTGGAGGCACCAGCTGGGAGAGGGGCCCAATCCATCACCCATGGACCTCCGAGCCCTTTACAGCGTTCCCATGGGCTTCATCCTCACCCCTGCGAGAAGCGGTGGGGAGAGGGACCAACCCCAACTGGAACCGCAGCACCACACGGGATTCAACCCAGCGCCAGGAGCATGGGCTAAGCCATGCCCACAGAGGGAAGGATCCGACCCACCGCTACATTTCCAAGCAGGCACCATTAGGGATGCTTTCCCCCCGCCCCCCCCAATATCTTCCTTTTCTTCCATCCTAACCAAAAGGAAGGTCTCTCCCAGACCATCGCAAGCGACAGCACGTACCCACAAAGAGATGGGGAAATGTCAAGCTTTAAACATTTATTACTCAGATGATGCATTTTATAGCATACAGTGGGTCTGGATGGTCTATAAACAAAGACTGAATTGCCACAAAGAGTCATTAGCTCCCTTGTTTTAACAGTCTCTGAAACGCTGAAAACGATGAGTTTGTGTTTCCTCTAGCAGGAACATCTAGTCTTTATTCTCCCCAAAACCTTTTTCCTTTTTTTTTTTTTAATTTTTAATTATTTTTTTTTAAAGCGCTTAGTTTAACAAATATGATTAAATTAAAAATGTCGCTTTTTCAAATGCAAATAAATACATTAAAAAAAAAAAAAAAAAAAGACTTGCTAGCGTTAACTCTGTGTTCTGCAGGACACCGCAGCTCCCTTGGCTATCAACAGTGGACTTCGCAACCCTTAGCATCGCTTCTCCTGAAAAAATACTGAAAGTATCTCCGGGACTGGCTAATAGCTGACACCAAGAAGAGCAAAACTAGTAGAAAGCCATAAAATACCCAGCAGGGAAATTTAAAAAAAAAAAAAAATCGTATTTAAGATTTTGAGAGACTTCCAAGTGAGGGATGTTATAAAAATAAGCATGAAAATAAATCATAAGTTATTCTGACAAGTTTTCCTTCAAAGCCATCAATCATGCCAAGAATAGATACTAATTAATCTCCTTCAGGGGAAGAGGGGAACCAAGAAAATCGCTTGCTTTTTCTTTCTCCCCCCCCTCATTTTCACTTCACCTCCATATACACGAGACTTCTCCAAACAGGGGTGGAAATCCCTCACGGGGAAACCGAGCAAATCACTTGGCGGGTTGCAAAAATCTTCAGTTTGGAAAGAATTTTACCAGGAATGAGGTGAATTTACCAGGAATGAGGTGAATGCTGGGGAGACCGGCAGGGAGCTGGCTGCTCTGCATCCGAAGGGGGACCGGCGCGGAGGCGGTGCAGAGCATCGCTCCTCTGCAGATGCTTCAGCCACTCACCTTTACACCAGCCCAAGGTTTGGCCCCACACGTATTTGGCCCGAGGAGGTTATTTTCCCCTTTGCTGGTGTAGCCGTATGGGGGAAAATGTATTAAAATCCCGTGCGGAATCTTTTATTGAGTGGTGAAGATTGAATGTGGCTAATTTGGGGAGATGTAGCCGGGGGCATCACGCCTTCAAAAATGTAGAATTACACTCTTTGGCAACTGATTCTAAAAAAAGCCAAAAAAAAAAAAAAAAAAAAAAAGAGAAGATACTCGTTGACTTCCCTAGGTGCTCTCACCAGGAATCCCCAAAACCTCCCAGCGCCGCTCCCCGTTCTGCCCCATCAAATGACCTCGTGGTACCTCTTTTCCCAACACGGTACCATGGCTGATGATGCCATGTGCCTGCCGGCTTCCTACTGATGGACTTGAGAAAGAGACCGTTGGCAGCATGTAATTTTGGGGAAAAAAAACCACCCCATTTTTGGTCAACATTTTGATTCTCGCATATCAACGGAGCGACTGACGTACCAAAGCAGTTAATGGCTGGACGAACGCACGTTAATAGCGGAGATAAATGGCAAGACATTAAAAAACGATGGATTTCACATAGAATTTCTTCGGTGGGAGAAATCCCTGTGTTGGAGGGGAAAGTCGTGGGCCAAGCCCGGTCAGTGGGGGTTGCAGGATTGCACCCCAATGGGAAAATTGAATAAACCCTCAGGGCTGGTAGGGGTAGGAAAACGCTTAAGCAGAAATACTGCCACGTGGCTTACGCTTCGCCTCTGAAGGCCTCCTGATGCACTGATGGGTGAAAATTCAGGTTTTTAGAAGCAAAATCTCCAATTCTCTGGGTTTTGGTTTTTTTTTTTTCTTTCACTACATCCCGAGAGCAAACTCTGGGGGAAGGGGATGGGAGAAGCTGCAGCGGCGGTCTGGATCGCTGCCGGCAGGATCCCTGGCACCCTGGCCCATCAGACTGTGCCCCCCTTACAGGACTTTCCTGTTCTTCAAAATAAAATAAAAAAAAATAATCAAGACAAACCTGGTTTTCAGGTCTTCTCCCAGAAGACTGATGCTGTGCCCGGGTACGCTGCGATGGGTGTTAAATCCCCTTCTCCTCCCCTCCCAAGAAATCAGGGAGCAGGAAAAGCCAAGAGCAATGGGCGCAACCCTGAGCCTTATAATACTGATGGGCTTTGCCTCCTTAATCAAGTTCAGCGGCTTTGCCACCTTAATCAAGTTCAGCTGCTCATTAATACTATCAAACCCCATTGCTACTAACGAAGCTGACCCAACGCAACCTGCCGTCACCACGTGAAGCTCCCGGGCTCGAATCGCCGCCGCAGAAATTAGTTTTTCCAGACAAGTCCAGCGCATCCAGCAGTAATTTTGCTGCTTTCTGGATAGCCAGGAAAACTGAAGCTCCTGTTTCCAGCTCGCTCCTCTTGCTCCATGGGTAGATCAGAAACTGCTGCAGAAGATCAGAAG